ACCCCCACAACCCCCCACATTTACCTGACACAGATCCATGACGATGCTCTCATGAATCTTCTGCCACAAGTGAGCCCTGAAGATCTGGATGAGGGAAATCTTCAGCGTGGGAATTTTGCCGTGCATGAAAATTCCAGTCAGGTCCAGCTGTACTTGGAAACCCACGTAGACCTGAGAAATGTACAGAGAGACAAAGTCAGTAATTCCTGATTCCCACACAGACCTGAGAGAAATGTACAGTGAGACAAAGTCAGTAATTCCTGATTCCCACACAGACCTGAGAGACAAAGTCAGTAATTCCTGATTCCCACACAGACCTGAGAGAAATGTCGAGAGAGACAAAGTCAGTAATTCCTGATTCCCACATATACAAGATGAAAGGAGTAAGAGAATAGAACAACAGATGTAAACCTCAAATGTACATTATCAAACACCAAAACACCTCCAATGTGACAGACTAGGAAGGTTTTAAACTCCCCCCCCCCTACCCCAAAGGGTAAAAATACCAACAAAAGAGCAATCAAAAAGCCAACCCACCCCTCCCACCTTTTTCCAGGAAAACTTTGAAAACTTGATCCTGTCCAAAGAGGGACATGACACAATCACAAATCCCCATCCTTGCAACAGGAAAAGTCTGAGACTGTTAAACACTTTCCTCAGAAAACTTGTACAAGTGTGAGAACAGGCTTTTATTATTGGTATAGAGAGTCTAGACTTTGTATGGACAAAACACAGACATCTCGTGACCTCAGTGCTTTCTCATCCTATCTCCATTATTTTTAACATTGAAAACGTGACTTCTTCTTTAGCTCACGGTTTGTTATGAACTATTTTCCCTGTCATTAAAACTAGAGACAGGACAAGGAAACACTGAGGTCGCGATGAGGCAGTACTCACGTTTGCCCGGTTGATTGTCGGCGACCACCACAGGGTGAAGCGACGGTTGGGGATCTGGTTGAGACCCGAGCGCTGGGCGTTGGTTAGCTTCTTGTACTTCATCGACTCCTCAAAGCCACTGGCTCGCTCCCTGTGAGAGAGTTAAAAAGTGTTCACTAGAGAGACAAACAAGAGAAACCCATGTAGCTTCCAACAACACACACACAAGTCATTTCAAAGGCACAATCTTCACCTGTCACTAATCCAACATGTATACAGCCCTGTTACAGAAGACAATATGGCCGCTCTACACATCTATATATGGCCGCTCTACACATCTATCAAACCATTCCCTGTTACAGAAGACAATATGGCCGCTCTACACATCCATCAAACCATTCCCTGTTACAGAAGACAATATGGCCGCTCTACACATCCATCAAACCATTCCCTGTTACAGAAGACAATATGGCCGCTCTACACAT